TTTATTGTGAAAGGTTTATGTGGAACATAAACAAGCGGACACGCGACGTTTTACCGTCGCTGTTGCTAACGACAAAGCATAAAAACGGACGCTTGTCCGTCTGTAGTGTGGTTATATTAAATATAAGAGAACGAGAGAACTTTAAGAAATTAATATAGCCACTGCAGTGACCATCAAAACAATGGAAAAAAAATATTGCCGTAAACAGTTTATTTTGCGACACCACGAAACAAACGATAGCGTAAAATGAAACGATAGATGTTTTAATATCGTCATCCGATATATATCGTTATATCTAACAGCCCTAAATTTGACTGTTTTTAAACTCTGTTTGACTTTAGCCATTTATTTGTTATAACTTCCTTCTTCTCCACGGCAAGCAAGCACCAACAACAGGACAAGCAAGCGTAGCACAGAGCTGCAGATCCTGCATCCTGGTGACAGTAAACAGCTGCTACAAATCAACAGAAGTCTGCAAAGCTGCCTGTAGGCTGTGAATAGGACCACAGCAGAATCTTATCTTTGCCTTAAGGAAAAGAGTGGCGATAAGACGTGAAGCAGACATATTCAGAAACGGAATAATTAAGGGAACAGTGGTTGCTTCTCTCAAACTTACCTTTCAGGGGGTTTGTTGAAATTCTTGTTGGTGTAAATTTCTTCCAAACTGAACTCCTTCTTTTTCAGCCTGTAATGTAACAGAACAAAAAGACAAACCACTGCTGGAGCATCTCTATTGATCAAAGAGACATCAATAGAAAACTCACATGTACTGAAATGCACTGACATAAATTTCCTTTCAGTGGTAGATCAGTCAGAATCTGTCCTACTTTTTTGCCCCAACTGAACTGGAGCTAGGAGAAATCGATGTCTTTTTGATTTTGAAGCAAACCATAGATCCTGAATTTACCAATATATATCAATTTTCTTCTGTGATTAATAAATCCCTCTGGGATTAAAAAAAGTCTCTCTGATTCTGATATTGACATATTTAAAAAAAAAAAAGAAGAAAAAAAAGGATAAAATTAATAAAATGAAAATTGCGATGCATTTACCCCAGTCTCATTTCACTCATTATTACATACTGCTCGTTTATAGCGAGCTACCCCTTTCACTGCAAGTTTTACTTCAAGTACACTTTCTCACACATATACTTAAGTCAAGATACACGCTTAAGTCAAGATACACGCTTAAGTCAAGATACACGCTTAAGTCAAGATACACGCTTAAGTCAA